GGACACAGGACTCCAGATGGGGCCTCCCCAGGGCAGAGCAGAGGGGGAGGAGAACCTCCCTCGCCCTGCTGCCCACACTCCTCTTGATGCACCCCAGGATCCCATTGGCCTTCCTGGCACCCAGGGCACGCTGCTGGCTCATGGTCACCCTACCATCCACCAGGACACCCAGGTCCCTCTCCACAGAGCTTCTCACTGGGCTCTCCACGTAACCCCCCAAAATCTGCTGAGCCGCAGGGTCAGGCAGGGGGAGGGCGAAGCAGGCGCTGCACCCTCCTGGCTTGTACAACGCCGAGCAGCGACCTGGCCTGTCGGAGCGGAGCTCGGGGACTCGTTGTGTTTTATTCAACACAAACTCTGAAATCACACAGAAGCGTAAGCCCTTGGAGTAGCTCCTGGGTAGTTTCTTGCATTTATTATCAGTTTCAGATCCTCTCAGCCAAGGCGTTTGTGGCCTTACAGAGGCTCCTCTCCAGATCCTGCAGTGGGAGGTGATGTGCTCGGGGAGAATATCGTGTAGCCTGCACGGTCACATACTCGTGACCCGTGCTTTGCATTGTGAGTAATTTAATTATCATCCAGCAGAGCCTGGGAGGGAGAAAGCCGGTGCATTTCCCAGATCTCTTCAGGGTTTGCAAATAGAAGATAACGACTCTTGTCAGACCTGTCCTGGTTCCTCAGATGGCCTCACCTCTGCTCTGTGTTTCCTTTCCCCCCAGTGAAAGACTACTTGCCATCTCCAAAGCTGACCCACAAGCGAGCGTTCAGTGACGACGTCTCCCAAGTCAGCCCGGTCCTGGAGCCCAAAGCAATCCAAAGCCTGAAGCCAAAGAACGATCCCGTGTCCCGGTCTTCCCTCTGCATCAACGGGAGCCACGTTTACAGCGACGAGCCCGCACCGAAGAGCCCCGTGTCCGTCCCGCAGAGCTCTGCGCCGCTGCCCGTGCCCAGCGTGCCCAGGCGGCAGGAGGAGGACTTCGGCTTCGCCCCCCTCCATCCCGACTCCCACCAGGTGCCTTGGGGGGTCGGCAGCTTTGAGAGGACGCAGCAGAGAGACGAGCCCAGGTTCATCCCGTCTCCTCCCACTTTAGCCTTGCAAGAAGAGCTCAAGGTCTCCACGAAAGCCGTCACTCTCAGTAACCATCTGGGCAGAGCCAAGATGGAAGAAAACAGTCGCTTAGAGAACAAGCCGACCCAAGCTGCGATGCCCATGGTCTTCTCAGTGGAACCAACGAAGGACAAACAACCCGAGGAGACGAGGAAGGAAGACAAGAAAGCCAAGGGCGGCCTCTTCCACCACGGGGGCAACAAGAGCGACACGGGGAGCAAAGCCCAGGGCGAGAAACCGGGACCCTGCCACGGCTCATCCGTCCACGCGACGGCAGGGGGAGATGAGAGGAGTAAATCCGGCGGCTGGTTCGGTTCGAAGGAGCCCAAGGAGTCCCCGCAGAAACCCAGGTCAGTGAAACTGGTCAGTGCTGATGTCTAGGCCGTTAGCTGGCTGCCCCAGCCTCCCATCCTCAACGGCTGCGCTGTTAAATGCTCCATGGCGTCAGCGGAGGACCGGTCCCCTTGCTCAGACAAGATGACAGCAGGGGAAAACGCTTCCTTGGTCTGAAATGTCTCAAAGGGAGGGTGATAATTCCTGGATCCTCCCCTGGTTTCTGCCGCAGACCACCTCCCGTTGCCCTCCTGGGCCGTGTTTCCCGGTTGGGGAAGGGAGGGATCCCCTTTGCGGAGAGGGACGGACGTTTCCCTCTGCAGAGGTGAGGCTCAGCGTGGTCACGCCGAGTGTTTCTGTGGCCTCGAAGTAAAGGATCGTTATCCTTTAATTAGCTGAAAAAGCTTCCCTGGCAGTCAGCATAGGGACATAGTGACATGTAATCGCATTTTATTGATGAACCTCCCACCCCCTCTGGTCTGGCCTGGGGGTGCAGTGCTGTGGTAACCTGAGATATTCTTAACATTTCTGAAGTCACTAATCCCAGCTCTTTCCTTTTCCCATCCCACCCCAGCCTTCCCTCCTCCCGATTATGAATCTCTAATTGTTCTTGCTCCGTGTGGTGATTCATCCCTCCAAATCCTCCGCGCTCTGTTTGCAGCACACAAAACGGGGTGTTTGGGCTGTTTCCGTGCGGGCCCGTGCGTCACCCACGTCCATCCCCGTAGCCCCCGGCAGCTGAGCTGGGGGTCTGGAGCTCGGCCGAGAGCCGGGTGCGCTGTTACTGCTCAGCAAGAGGGAGAAAACGGGGTTAAAAGCAGCCAGAGGAAAGAAGTCTAGCAGTCGAGAGCCGGTGGAATCTACGGGGTTGATTTATTATAGGGATTTTCGAATCTGGGCTGGCTTTAATCTAATTTATTAAGCAGAAGGATTTTAATTCAGTCTAAGCCTCCTTTAATGAGGAGGGCACTTGTGGTTTATTCAGCCTAACCAGATTCCCACACGGGTTAAACTGCTTTTAGAGCGCTGCTCAGACGTAAGCGAGGCGGTGAGCACGTCACGCCTTCGGAACAGGGGCAGCCCCAAAAGTCCTCCTCACCCCGTGAGAAGATGTCCACCTCGGAGCGGTCTGCAAGACCGACGGGAGGCAAGGACTTGCTGCCCCCCCTTCCCAAGGACTGAAGGCCGCGTGTCGCAGTCCTGTGTGCCGCACGCGGCCCCTCGGGGGAGCACGTGCTGTCGGCGCGAGGGTGGGCGAGGAGCTGCAAGGGCTGGTGAGGCTCGGTGCTGCCTGCGCTCCCCAGCTGCACGGGCAGAGCTGGGGACACCGAGGCGGGCAGGGGGCCGCTCCCCCAAGGTGGGAATACAACGAGTTGACCACGAG